ACTCGCGCCATTCCCCATAGTAACATCTGGTGTTTTTTTTTTTTTATGGATCAAACAGAAACGAACCAGCAGCATTTTATTGGGTCTCTTGATGCCCGGAAGGCTTTTTATTTAGTGCATTTAGATCAAGTACTAGTGATCAAATGTAGGTGGTTCATCTGACGTCGTCGGTGTCATTTTAAAAATCTCCTACTGCGGCGTATGGGTTCTTGCACATTTACCTTAATTTCTCTGTAAGTAGGGCACTGCTGTTGATAATATTGTTACGGGGAAGATTTATTCACCGACAGCGGGTCTTACTAATGGTCTTACAACTAATGTCGTTGTTTTAGATGTTGTCATACATTAAGCTTTCGCTCTGATGTAAATTGTTATTTGACTTTAGCGTCCCTTTATTGATTTTTTACTCGAACCAATCAACAATGAAAATGTGAACCCCGCAAGATGTCGGTACTCAGTATTAATGGTTCTCGATATTGCGTACACCTTCTCAAAGCGACAGCTGTGATGTGCCAGTTGAAAGAAAGAGAGAAAAAGAGAAAGAAAGAGAGAAAGAGAGAAAGACAGAAATGGAGAAAGAGAGAAAGAAAGAGAGAAAGAAAGAGAGAAAGGAAATCTCAACCAGAGTAGTGTCCAGCTGGCTGCATTAGGTGGGAGAGTGTGAAAATAAAATAGAAAGTTGTAAGAAAAAGAGAGGAAGGAAGCAGAAGGAGGAAAAAAAGGAAGCAAGTGGTGATTGCGCTGACTCGTGTAGGGAGAGAGAAAGATATAGCTTTAAGGCGTAAAGGCTGACAGAAAGCGAGAGAACATTTAATTTTTTTAATGTAAAAGAAGCATGTGAGAGGGAGCATGAGTGATCCCGGCAACCACACGTATACGGGCCCGTCGACACAAAGCCGGGTGGGCCCCATCATTCAGGACATTGTCTCACCACTCTTGGGTGTGGAGGGACGGCAGGGAAAAAGTAACAATTTTGCAGCACCCTTCACCATCACATGGAACGTCGTTGGGAACGTGGCCCAGCCCGGTTGAGAGTGAGAGAAAAGATATAGAGGAAAGGTAGGGCGGTAAACTAGCTCGGGCAACAGTCTGCGTTAATTGTCTGCATGTTAGCCAGAAGAGGAATATCCAGTCCGCTACCCTGCTCTGGGAAAGCAAAAACTGAAAGCCAAAGGCACAAGTACGTACCCATCCCTCGTCAGCCCACAGTATAGCGAAGACACTTTCGCGATTCTCGTAAAGGAAGAGTACCATAAAAGGAGCCCGTTCAAGAGAGCATTTCATTTGCCATTCCAGCATTATAGGATATAAAGGGATCTCTCGAATGTGTCTCGCATGTGTCAAAGCAGTTTCTTTTTCAGCTGTTTATTTTGTCGAGTTCACTCGAACGAAAATCCATTTTTAAATCGCGAGCCTACAGTTAGTCCCTTTCAGCCACAGACGCAACCATGTCACCTTGAACAACAACGGGAGAAGCGGGCTGCAATCTTTGATCGTAACGCAGCCACGCATGAAGTCGGCTACATATCATCGTGCACGTCTCCCTTTTCTGCAGAATTTTTTTTCGGGACTTATGTTCGATGAGAACCCTGGATAAGTGAGAAAGAAAGAATAGTAAAAGAAAGAAAGAAGAAAAAATGAAGAAAGTAAAAGGAAACAAATAAATAAAGAAAGAAGGCAACAAGTAAAGAAGAAAAGAAAGAAGGAAAGAAAGAAATCACTAAGGAAAGGGAGAAGGAAAGAAATAAAGAAGGAAAGAAAGAAAGAGATCACTAAGGAAAGAGAGAAGGAAATAAATAAAGAAGGAAGGAAACAAATAAAGAAGGAAAGAACACACAACGCCCCCAGGCCGAAGACAAAGGCAGCGACCAAAGTGTAAGCAGCTCGAAGGCGCGATATTGCTTTGCTGAACCGCGGCCTTTATTTATGTTCTACGTGAAGTTACCAGTGAATATTTATTAGGGTGACGGTAGATCGCGGCTTCACTATATTGTCTCGCCAGTGGATTTTGTTTCGCGACTTCGAAATTTGCGTGCCAACGGCCATTGTCGCGCTTTCCCTCCGAAGGAAACGTGAGCCATATGTAGCTCTAACGTCGTTCGGTATACTTACGACATCGCTGCAGGGAATTCTCGTGTTATGCCCGAGCCAACTTCAATTCATCCTCGCTTTGCTGCTGTATTGTTGTCGATATTTAAAAAAAATAAAAGCGTGACACAATATTTGCTGATTTTGCTGACATACGAGATTCTCCTGTGCTGTTTTGCACACGAAGACTATCAAGGGAAATATTATGATGATAATATATGGGGTTTAACGTCCCAAAACCACCATATGATTATGAGAGACGCCGTAGTTATAGGGCACCGGAAATTTCGACCACCTGGGGTTCTTTAACGTGCACTCAAATCTGAGTACACGGGCCTACAACATTTCCGCCTCCGTCGGAAATGCAGCCGCCGCAGCCGGGATTCGAACCCTCGACCTGCGCGGGTCAGCAGCATAGTACCGTAGCCACTAGACCACCACGGCGGGGCCTCAAAGGAAATAGAAACGAGGATGAGGTTCAGACGTCATCAAACAGAAATCTTTGTCAGATATGTTACGCGTGGGTAAAACAACATAAAGTGTTTACAGCAGAATGGGCCCGCAACTAATAACGTGCTTCATAGATACAGTGGTCGTAACTCCATCTCTGGCATTAGCCGCTGCTTTTATGTTCAACTAAATTTTCCCAGCCTTGCCCAGTGCCTTCTTTAAAGTGCACAGATGTCGCCATCATCACGACTTCTCGTCTATAGAGGATCGCACAGTGCGTGGTATGTGCAGTGGTAGTGTTAATTTTCATAAAGGTGGTATTCTATAGAGAGTTAATATCAGTATAAGGCACCACTCTGCACGCTGTTGTTGCTTTATTTTTTTTATTTGCTTGTCCGTGGGGTTGAAGCTTTTTCTCTATTATCCCGTTCGTTGGTTTGCTTTGTATATCTTAAATTATTCGCTATAAATCATGAAAGAGAAAAGTTTAGGTCGAAGATGAAACTACATGTTTATTCGGGCCGAACTTGTGGCCACGCAAAAGGAAAGTCGGATTACAGCAAGACATCGGCACTGATAACGGTGATCAGAGCATCGGCCGTCGATTAACTGACAAGCGGCGAAGCGCGTCGGCATTTATACACTTGCCATCGAATATTCTAGCATTATCACTAGCGGTGACGTAGGTTTCAGAATAATCTGTAATGTTCACGAGGTAGGTGTAATCGCAACAAAATGATCTACTGCCGTCCTGAAGCCTCTCAAAACGTGTAGGCGCGGCTTGCGTTGAGAATTACCGACAGTGAAACGCGGCGTTAACAAAAGATGAGGCCAGAGTGTGACATTGCCCACCTCTCAAAAAGGCATCGTCTCGATGCTTTAGGGAAAAAAACGAAAATACAATAATAAAGAACATAAGCAATAAACACAAGCAATAAAGCAGAGCAACAGCAACAAAATACAGTCCTCAGGTTCGCGCACGAAATGGTTTGAGGCGCACGACATAGGCTGTATTCTGTTGTAGTTACTGTGCTTTATTGCTTGTACTTATTGCTTATTTTCTTTATTATTCTATTTTCTTCTTTTTTTTAAACATTGGTACAATTCGTTTTTCAGAGGGCGGCAATGCCACATTCTCGCGTCATCTTTTGTTATCACCCGGCTTCACTGTCGCTAATTTTCAGCGCTAGCCGCGCCTATACACGTTTTGAAAGGCTTCGGTAGGGAAGTAGATTATTTTGTTGGGATTACGCCCACTTACAAAGTTAGGAATGTGTGGAACATGACAAATTATGGTTCATTATTTGCTGTGCGTTACCAACCCGATATAATATTGGGGATTTGTGTACGACAATGCTCTTGCTGTACAAGCGCTCCCTGCTCCTTTTCTTAATGTGCAGCGTTGCAAATCCGCACTCACTTCAATACGACACATGATTGATATGTGGGGTTTAACGTCCCAAAACCACTTCATGATTATGAGAGACGCCGTAGTGGAGGGCTCCGGAAATTTCGACCGCCTGGGGTTCTTTAACGTGCACCCAAATCTGAGCACACGGGCCTACAACATTTCCGCCTCCATCGGAAATGCAGCCGCCGCAGCCGGGATTCGAACCCGCGCCATGCGGGTCAGCAGCCGAGTGCCTTAGCCACTAGACCACCGCGGCGGGGCACGACACACATTTTACTTACGCTTTATACACATTGTCGCATTCTGTATATGTAGTTAATTTTTCGTTTGCACGTGAGAATAAGAGGCACGCAGGTATCGGTGCCAATGATATATGTGTTTCCGGACTATATTGCTCACCTCGTTGTGCGGTGTTCATGCGTACGTCTCAAGACGAGCATCATGACCTTAGCAATAAAAAGAGGCAACAAAAAAGGATGCTCTTTCTTTTTGCAGTCACGCACAACTAATCTTGGCCGCGTAGTGTAACATCGTGTACTGTAACTCCATTTAATAATTGCCGGATGCGTAGCTAGACGCGTAGCTCAGTTTCGAGCACTGCCTTGGAAAAAAAAAAGTAAACGGGAACTCGTCTGATATATACTACATAGCTGTGTGGTGATTAAAAATAAAATTGGAGCGATGACGCCTTGACGAGACCTCTCATAAAATACACTAATGCAAAATTTTCAGCTATTACGTTGGGTAATGAATCTGTAATACTACACACACTACAGACCCTATGAAACGGAACAGAAGAGCCACTATACTAGTGGTTGTCCTATTTCGTTTTGCACATTTCACAGTGTGCATTTGTGTATTCGCTATAATGTTATAGATTATCGAGTCAATATACCAACTAGCCCACCTAATTAGTGAATGAATGTGGGGTCGCCTGTTCAAGTGGAGAACCACACAGCGTGGAAGTGTGATGCGGGAATGATTTCCAGCATGAAGTCTTGCGCAAAAGTGCGAGTGATTTTCGAAAATTGCGCCTTTCTCATCCATGCAGGAACGGGCACATTCGGCCGTGTCTGTCTGTGCCGAGACCGGAGCGGGGCCTTCCACGCCATGAAGATCATGGAGATCTCCGACATCTTCCGGCTGAAGCAGGTCGAGCACGTCAAGAACGAGAAGGCCATCCTGCTACAAGTGCAACACCCGTTCATCATCCGCATGTAAGTTGAGAATGGGGACCGTTCTTACTTCCTGACCACAGAGGGGGCGCTCACCTCTTCTGGAGTATGTCAGAAGCGAGCGCGCGGTTGTTCGGTCGGTGAACTCGGATTGAGCCACGAGTCTGAGTGAGCTCGGGTGGAAGAAAATTTTCCCCAGTCTGAGTTCAGCCCTGAAAACTTTTTGTGAGTCTGGGTTCAAGTGAGCCCTAAGCGCAAGATATAATTTTTGAGTGAACGAGTTGGACTTTCTTTTGACGACCTACTGATCTTCAGCATTGCTAGAGTGAACTAGAACAGGGGAGTGCCCGGACCGAGCTTCGCAAAGTGAATCAGCTCGCGACGCTGCGCTCGTTAGTCGGCAATCTATCGTCATTTTAAAGGTTGGGCGCGGCTCTGCCAAAGTGGTTCAGGGGTAGAATGCGCACTTCCCACTCGAGAGGCCCGAGTTTGAATCGCAGCTGTGAAGATTTAGTTTTACAAGGGAAGCTCCTTATGCCGTGGGTCATGCGTCCGCGATGTATGTAGTAGTAGCTGTCGTCGTAGTATAGTAGGTAGCCACCTCTCGTTTAGGCCTTGGAATGTCCGCTGGATACCGGTACTTCTATATATGATGGATATATGATGAAAAGATGTGAAATGACGGTACATGGAGTGTTCACTAGATCGACGGACGGACGGACGGACGGACGGACGGACGGACGAGCGGATAAGCGCACGGACGAACGCACGGACACATGCACAGACGAACGCACGGGTAGACGTACGCATGGATGGATGGACGCACGGGTAGACGTACGCATGGATGGATGGACGCACGGGTAGACGTACGCATGGATGGATGGACGCACGGGTAGACGTACGCATGGATGGATGGACGCGCGGATGGACGTACGCATGGATGGATGGACGCACGGATGGACGCATGGACAGATGGATGGACGCACGGATGGACGTGTGGACAGATGGATGGACGCACATATGGACGTGTGGACAGATGGACGGACGCACGGATGGACGTATGGATGGTAGGACGGACGCACGGATGGACGTATGGATGGTAGGACGGACGCACGGATGGACGTGTGGACAGATGGATGGACGCGCGGATGGACGTACGCATGGATGGATGGACGCACGGTAGACGTACGCATGGATGGATGGACGCACATATGGACGTGTGGACAGATGGATGGACGCAAAAATGAACGTATGGACAGATGGTCGGACGCACGGATGGACGTGTGGACAGATGGACGGACGCACGGATGGACGTGTGGACAGATGGACGGACGCACGGATGGACGCATGGACAGATGGATGGACGCACGGATGGACGCATGGACAGATGGATGGACGCACGGATGGACGTGTGGACGGACGCACGGGTGGACGTATGGGTGGATGGATGGACGCACGGGTAGACGTACGCATGGATGGATGGACGCACGGGTAGACGTACGCATGGATGGATGGACGCACGGGTAGACGTACGCATGGATGGATGGACGCACGGGTAGACGTACGCATGGATGGATGGACGCGCGGATGGACGTACGCATGGATGGATGGACGCGCGGATGGACGTGTGGACAGATGGATGGACGCGCGGATGGACGTGTGGACAGATGGATGGACGCGCGGATGGACGTGTGGACAGATGGATGGACGCACATATGGACGTGTGGACAGATGGACGGACGCACGGATGGACGTATGGATGGTAGGACGGACGCACGGATGGACGTGTGGACGGACGCACGGGTGGACGTATGGGTGGATGGATGGACGCACGGATGGACGTGTGGACAGATGGACGGACGCACGGATGGACAGATGGACGGACGCACGGATGGACAGATGGACGGACGCACGGATGGACGTATGGACAGATGGTCGGACGCACGGATGGACGCATGGACAGATGGATGGACGCAAAAATGAACGTATGGACAGATGGACGGATGGATGGACGATTAGGGAATGGTTATTCTGGTATATCATGTTGTTGATGATGTCAGGGGGCGGTTTGGAATGACGTACATGCGTGTTATGCATTTATTAGTGTTCGCTTCGAAATCAAATTTTCAGTTGCTATGCGCTCGTCTGTTTCCTCTCTGAGTGTGTGTATTTTTTAGCGCTTGTTTCCTTATGAGAACGTAAAGTACGGCTCCGAGATTTTCGCAAATGCGATAATCATCACTGGTCATACTTCCAGTTTTCGTTGAATGCCGTGCGGCGGCGCTGCAAATAATGACGCTCACTGTCCAATTTCTTTTCTGTGCTACTTTACATATAAAGTTACTTTTTGCAGTGTTATGTCCCAACTGTTTTTAAGAAACAAAAAAAAAACGATACAACTAAAACAAGTTACGACAAAAAAATTTCAAGATCGAAATTGCAGATCGAAATTGTTGGTGCCGTTGCGTTTACTGTGGTGACAGTTGCAATACGCATTTCTCGGTTGATTAAGGACTTATGGCAATGAAGGACCAGAACCTAATTGATCACGAGGTGCTCAAATTTTGTTTTTTATATTCAAGCTCTTCTTGTTATGGTAAACTTCTTCTGAAAGTCAGTGCTGTGACGCGTGTCCCCTTGTTTTCTTCGTGCGTGTTCGCGCTGTCGCCACAATGATTCACGCTACGTTAATACGTTTATATACATGAAAATACGTCAAAGCCACACTAGGAGGCATGGTGATTATAGTTTATTTAACTGCTGCTTACAGCTCCGCAGTTTTGTTTTGTTCTGATTGGCTTATTGATTTGAGGCAGATATTTATCGGCTGCTACATTGCTATGCAGCTATATACAAAAAAAAGAGCAGAAAAGGAATGTGGTTATCCAAAAAACAAAGTTAACAAGTAAAGAAAAAGCTTATAGCCAATTGAAACTTCAAAAAAGAAAGTAACAGGCGCAGTTCACATTTCCATGAACCGTTCACGCGCACAGATTTTTGTCCAAGTTTACTGTATGGACATCATCAGTGGTGAACACCTCGTTCTTTATCTTTGCGGGGCGGGCAGGTTCTGGACTCACCACGATGCGACGAGCCTGTACATGCTGTTCGAGTACGTCTCCGGAGGCGAGTTGTTCACGTACCTGCGCAACGCTGGTCGCTTCACGTCGGCCACGGGCGCCTTCTACGCGGCTGAGATCGTGCTCGCCCTGGAGTACCTGCACCGGTTGCACATCGTGTACCGGGACCTCAAGCCCGAGAACCTCCTGCTGGACAAAGAAGGGCACCTCAAGATCACCGACTTTGGATTCGCCAAGAAGCTGCATGACAGGTCTTAGTCACTTCTCTCTTCTTTTAATTGACCAAAATAGATACTCCTATCGAAATGCCGACCAGCCTGCTGGAGTCCCTTATTCCTGCTCATACAACCTCAATCTGATAGTTTTTTTTTCTTTCTTTTATCTTCTTATCTCACGGGTAGACGTAGTTGAGTTGACCTCCCCGCCTTTCCTGTGTCATTTCTTTTTCTCTTCGGCGGCAGTGTCGCTACGTGAGAATCTCGCGTGTACTGAGGCTATTATGTACTTGCCCGCCTTTTGTCAATCAGCCAATCAGCGCGCGCTAAAAGCGCTATTTTGGCGATAACTCCCAAACTGATCGTCTCAGAAGATGGCTCTGCAAGAACTGCAGTGTATTTATTTCGGGAGAGAGTTTCCATCGCCCTTTTCTGCAGAAGAGAACCAAGAATACTCGCGTTCTGTCTTCTGGTTGCGCATCTGGTTGCACGTTCCGCATATGCGTAATTTGAAACCGCCAGCTAGAGTAATACCCCGGTCACACGGAAAATATAATGCCATTTACAGCGCATATCATTCGTTTGGAATGTCGTTTGTTTGCTGTCACATGGGCAAACTAGTGCCATTTGATGAAAATGGCATATTTGGTCGAATGAGTTCCCGAAACGCATTCGTGTTTGATTTTGGACCAAGTGAGTAGTCTCGACGCCAGGCACATGGCTGTTCACTTATGCACACGTAACATTTATAATTTCTAAGCATCTTATTTTTTCCTAAATCAACTTATTACTGCTTTGATGGAATAACAGCACGCGCGAAGTTTCTGAAACAAAAAGAAAGCTAGTACAGCAGCTGGACGCCGGCTATGCTTCATTTGCGCTCTGTTCTCGTTCTTGCCTGTATCGCGGATGCTGATCGTCAGATTGCACATGTTGTGGTGACCAAGGGGGTGATTACACGAAATACTGCCGCCGTCTTATTTTTGGGACCAGGAAGTCAGTCGTGCGCCCCGCCTCAGTTCAGTGTACTCACGCGTGGTCATATTATCGTTGACCATGTGAGTTTTCGAGTGTGTCTTGCAGCTGTAGAAAGTTGTGTAAAACGGCCAAGTTTATATTCCTTTTACCCATAAAAATTGTTTTTGTAGATACACGCATGTTACGTGCATGTCTTAATCTATTTCTATTTCTCCCAAACTCACGTCTCAGGAGGGCTAAGGTCTTCTTCATCATTTCAAAATGACATTTATTTTCGTCGTGTGACAGCACTAGGTTAAGTGAAATTAGGCCCGCCTAATGTCATTCGTTGTAAATGACGTTAGATTTGCCCTGTGACAGGAGTATAAGACGGGTTGCCTGCGCAAAATAGAAAGCGCCGATCTCGGAAAGTCTTCTATCTGGTCATTTGGAGAAAATGGCTGCACGCAGTCACGGGTGTGAGGTCGTTGCACCTGTGTGTCTTTACGCGTCCAGTCGCACATTTAAAATGGGTGCAAGTATAGCAAGCTTTGCAACCGAGATCTTCTTTTAAAAGAACAAATAATACTACGAATCCTCCAAGCCACTCTTTACTTCTTACTTTGTACCGCATTAAGTAAAACATAAACTACAAGGACACCCATGCATGGCATCGCTCTCCATGCGTGCATCTTTGTCGTCTTTGTTGTATTTCGTGCTTTGAAAGTCAATGCAAGATGACCCGGCTGTCAGTTCTCTTATCTTTTTCTCCTTCTGAAACGTCTCACATGGTGCCTTGAAAATGGCATGCAAGAGTTTGTATAAAGCGGTGCCCATTGACAGACTGTCAAATCTTCACGTGTTATCAAGCTGCATAGCGGCTATTCGGCATGGTGCGAGGGGATGTTTTCGCAGAAAACGCAAAATTGGGACGCCTATTGCACCTTCTCTTCCCTAGCAATATTTACTGTCAAATATTTTATCGATGATGGAAGTGAATATTTGCGCTAGCAGCAGTGGTGTATCCAGGAGGATGGGAGGTGTCATCCCCAACTTCGCATTTTTCTATCTTTTTGTGCATACAAACGCACACTCAAACTTATACGTGAACACACAAACGCACGCAATAACCTACATATATAGTATGGTGGAAACTCCCCCGAAAAAGTGCTGGTTGCGCCGCTGGCTAGCAGGAAACCTTACACGGCAAGCGCAAAACATAGCTTGCAGAACCAAGTGTGCTATAGCTGCGTCAACACTGAAAACGTATCTATTTGTTGTTTGTTCAAAGAAGTAGTGATATTGGGATGATGGAACGGAAAAAGCAAAAGGCCCCGCTAACATATCGTGAAAGTCACAAATCCCGGAACGAAGGAACATCTCATTTCAAAGTGGCTTTCCATTTGCGATAAGTACACGCGCGTGCTATGCAAGATTCAAGGGGGTCTTTCAGGCATTTTTTAGTGTCTTTTTCTCAAAGTGGTGTACTTGCTGTCTGCCTTGAAGGAAAAGCGCTGAGAGCGGGCGCATGCCCGTGTTCTTACGAGCACTGAATATACTGAACGGTGTGTTTCGGAGCGACGAGTGGTCCTTTATGTATATACGATGCCCGTGGGCTTTTCAAGCTTCAGAGCCGCGTGTTGCGTGGCACAGCTACACGGGAAAAGAAAAGGAGCCTTTTACTTGTGTAGCCACTTCGCGCTGGCGGCAACAGGCACCCTTCCTGGGTGCACTCGCAGAGATTGGTGCCCACCGGCTGCCGGGTATTTCGCTTCATGTAGTGCCACTTTGGAGATCTCGCTTTCTCAGCTCCTTGCGTCAGGCTAAAAGATTGTTTTTAGAGTGTAGATCATCCATAGTTCCCCTCCATGAGAATTCGCGCTGTGTTTTGCGGTAATGTCATTGCTGTAGCACGTGTCATGCACCCCGGCGTGAAATTTTAATAATTTCGCTAAAAGTTTTAAAATTCTAGAACTAGTTGATATGCGCTTTTTAGTAGTTAGACACAGTGTAATCCTGATGGTATGCGATGCCAGGCCATTGTTCTCAAGCGAGGCTCTGATTTGAGCGAGTTGATTCATTGGGGAATGCACAACGTGAAATGCACAGACAAAAGGTGGCTGACGGGAGACTGAACTTTGTTGTAGTCACACAGGCACTTCATAATTCCGCACACTAAATGCCTCACCAGGAAAAGAAAGTTTACGTTAACGTGACAGTTTCACGCACGTTAATCGACATCACCGTGCGTGCACCCTTCAACGGCACCGCGGCCACCCTCGGCAACCAAGGTCAAAGAAAGATAAAAATTAAAATAGTTTACTGCAGTAAACTACAGTTGTAAGTCAGCGCTCGGTCACTGTGGCCTGTCGTCTCTTCGTCCCCATCTCTATGGTCATTACCTTATGAGTGTTTTGTGTATTATGCCCACATTCTCTTACGCCTAAAGTAGAGCGACAAACCGTGCTCTTCTCCGCCTCTACGTGTTTAACCCTCTCTGCCTCTGAGTAGTGTATCCCGCCTAACCTGACATGCAGAAAAAACTGTTACCCGCACCCAAGAGAAACGCTCCGTTTTCTCCCTGCGGTGACACCCGCCGAATTCGCCAATGGATTCCTTTAACCGATCATTCATTTCGCCCGCCGTGCGTCGCAGCGACTGGTCAGCAATGACGATGGCCGTAACACTGCGCGGAGGACTGAGGAGCCAGTCGCCCCCGCTGTGGCCGGTTGCTGAAGGGGATTCGGAGGAATCAATTAGGTGAATCCATCGCGACTGGGAAAAAATACGAGAAAATATTGATTGCAAACAAGGTGCCCCCCACTACGTAGTGTGGTGTAATGGATCCTCTCTTTGCTTTCTTTTTCCTTTGTACATGCGAAAAAAAAAAAACAGGACGTGGACGCTGTGCGGCACGCCCGAGTACCTGGCACCCGAGATCATCCAGAGCAAAGGCCACAACCGTGCAGTTGACTGGTGGGCGCTGGGAGTTCTCATCTACGAGATGCTCGCTGGGTACGTTCCCGCCTACGTGTGTTGCGTAGCATCATTCTCTATCAGCGCTTGAAAGAAGCTTAAACTCAAGGGCTCGCTTTTTTCTCTGCTAGATGAACCAACAGACAATGATGCGAAGCAAAGCATAGAATATGTTATGGGTAGTAATTGTAATGTGTGAAAGAAAAAAAAATGAACCAAGTCCCCGCCAGCATCAAGTAATCGTTTCGTCCACTTTTATTTCTTCACATTTACCTCGCAAGTATTACCATAACATGCCGCACACTTTGCTTGTCACCATTTGTCATCTCTCGGCGTTCTATAGATTCTCAGCCATGAATGTTTCGGGGACTCTTTATGGGCCGGTGGAAGTGATCAGGGGCCCTTTGCTGTGTGATAATGTGCGGGTGTGGTCATAAGTTAACACAACATGTAGCATGAAGCAGATACCCTTTTATTTCTCTGGGGCAAAAAATATCAAGACAAGCGTGTCACGTCAGTTCGATTTCAGCAGCTTGTTAATAACTTGTGTGGTCTGCAGCCAAATTCGACCTGTGTTTAGCTATGTTTGCTTTTCAAATACGCAAGCCTGGAAAAAGTATGCTCGAGTGCATATGTCGTAGAAAACTAACAAACGCTTTACAAATTGCTCGAGAAGGGGAAATATAAGCTTGCTCCGTTGCAACGAAAGAGTGTTAAAATGTGATGTGTACTAAAAAAATGGAAAGGGTCATTATCATGGAACGGAACATAGTGTGCCTAAAACAAGTGTTTTTATTTTATTTCATGAGAATAGAATTTGCGGACCCCTAATGCGAACTCCAATATGAGAACCACTGACATAGAGGTACCTGCAATTTTTACTGGAGAGAACTACGACGCTGTAAGCATTCAGTGACCGTGCGATTGATGGGTAATACATGGATTTGTCTTCATCCTTCAGGCATCGAACACACTTGTGACTTTTTTCTCTGTGCTGTTTTGACTTTTGATTCGGATAACAAAACGGCTTATTTTAAACTTCGTGAGACGATTTTAATTGGCCAGATTTAAAAGGGTCAAGGTTGTGAAGCGGGGCTGTCCCATTTTTTTTTATTTTACCTCGTCTTGCCACAAAACGGCTGCATGCCACTCGGAGCCAAAAAATCGAAGCTCAGGCAAGTACATGAACAGTACGGCCCCACTGTTAAAGGGAACACAAAAATAAACACCATCCATGTTGCTGGCCCTCCAACAGCAAGTGGAGGCGAAAACAACCAGCACGCATGGAACTACAGTCTCTCAAGAGGAGTTTTAACTGTCAGCCACCAGAAATTTTATGCAAATCTAAACAAGTATGCTTTTGTAAGAGGGTGGAATTGCAACATGCAGCTGTTCCCTTTAACAGTGGACTCGTCTGTGCACTCCCATGATGGCTGAAGCGCCATGCGTTGCAGCTCTCGGAGACAGTATATAGTGCCACATTTCTTTGTTGTTTTTTTCTGGCCCATTCCTCTGTCCAAGCGTTGGGCAAGTGCAGCCTGGTTTTCCTCCCTGCCTTTCATTTAACCTTCACTTTATGTTATCCCCTATGAGACTTACCTGCGTGATGAAGGAGCAGCATTAATATCCATCGTGTTCAATTTACAACATTCACTCGAGCGCAATTGGACCACAAAGCACGTAAGGTTACAACCGAACATAAATGGAACGTGGTTGAAATTAAGTGGCGTAGTATGGCAGCACGGTCCTTAAGCATGGTATGTAATTAGTGCTGGAACCACACCTGTGTGGTATAAGCGGCTCCTTGAGACATATGGATACGTCTTGAGGTGTCAGCTTAGAGACGTCTTGTGTTTATGCGGCTCGCCTGGAACTCACCAATTTTCTCTCCTTAAATGCTGTTCCCAAACAGCTGTCAATAATTCGTTCCTTCTGCGTCTCTTACAAGGTTTGTAGCAAATTTGCCTAATTTTATATCCAATGTTTCTTTATAAAATGCTCTGGAACACTTTTTTCAAGTAACCACGGAATGGATTCACTGAAATAGCTGATTTTCTCGCTATTTCAACGCCGCAAAAATTGAGGAACTCGTTCAGAACGAGTAAAATTACTAACTGTTGTCGCGCGCTGCAATCGCATTCTCTCTTCTCTCGCCCAGAAGAAAGCACTGGAGGCTAATCAGGGAGGAATGGCATCGGCAAAGTAAATACGTCACGCGCTCCTAGTGACCTTGAGCATATTTTCGTTTTCTTTTTTTTTCGAATACTCGGCTTTTTCAGCGTGATAGTGCGCGCACGCGTATACAAGTCGCGGCCCCCCGTGGCGATCCCTGTAAAGACCAAGCTCGCCATGTTCAAATCAGCCAATAGCTGATAGAAGGCCTTCTATGAGTGATTTTTGAGCCTCCATCGTCATTTTAATTTTGAGAGGTGAGAAAGCAATTTTTAGCAGACTTTGACCATTTATTGTGAATTCCAGGCTGCGTGCTGCGCTATAACATTTGGCTCGCGTGTTCTTGGGAGCCTCTACTACCGAGCGGCATCGTTTTCTGAGCATGCTCAAAAAGTGTTACAGGGCCCTTTTAAGCTTCTCGTCGTGGCGGGAAGTTTCTTCCTGGAATTTAACATAAACTAAGTACATGTTAAAGCCGGCAAATGCAAAAAATAGAGATAATGATACGATATGAAGTTTCAGAACGGAGTACGCTAAACTTTGCGTTAGCGTCTGACGCCACCGCACATGCGTCGTACGCTATCCTCTCGTAAGGAGGATAGCGTACGACGCATATTATCATATACACCATTAAATGATGTGAATGGTGGGCGTAGGCAGTGAACGGCATATTTGTGTCCGTACCCTAAAACAATAGAGTTTCTCAAAATTAACTCGAGGAGACACTCGCGCTGCGATAGTTGAGGCACCATGGGATTTATGTGTGATATACTGATTTGCCTAGTCTTCGTGCGTGTGGCTTCGAACGCAGTTGTAGATTTGTTTATTACTGTGTTTTGTTTTTGTTTAGAATAAAGGAACGAACCGTTGTGAACTACGTTGGCTGATTGGAATTGGTGAGCCTAAACGGATCAAGGGAGTGAAGCGTAACTGCTGAACTTTTGCTGAACTTCGTGTTGCGAATTAGGGGCCCAAGAAGCCAAATGGAGCCAAAGCAACGAAGACGTACTAGGCAAATTTGTGTACTACATATCATTCCCCAAGCTGGCTGAAGCGCCGTGCGCTGCAGTTCTCAGACACCAGCGCCATAGTTCCCTCTAGCAAGTACTGTAGGAAACTAAAAGCCTCATACTAGAGTGAAAGAACGCTAGGGCATAATTGTTGTTTCGCCTGTAATTTGGTCTATCTCAACTATGACACGACAAATGTAGGTTACGTTTACCGAAATAATATCTTTGGCTTGCTAGACGGAGGGGGGGGGGGTAGAAATGAAACAAAAATGCAGCATATCTACAGAGTGAACGATGATGCGTGGGCGAAGCACAGGGGGACATCGGTAAACTATGAATCTTCCATAAATCTTGCCCCGTCGAGCATCATGTAAAGATGGCGAGCATGAGGTGCAGCCGTTTTCTGAGCCCTCCGCTCCGCCTTTTTGTCTTTGTCGCTAATACGCTATAGGCACACAGACTGCTGGTTAAAAAGGAAGCGCGCCAAAAGCGAACGCATTCAAACGTAAGAGCGAACGCAGTCGCCTATCACACGACAGCACGCATCGGAGTGGGGCGAGCGCCGCAGCACCATGTAGTGAGCGCTCTGAGTACTGGTGGTGGCTACTACAACGTGCTACTTGTCTACGCCTTTTAAAGAGCTTCGCCTCTAAAACCGAGAGCAGAGGTCTGTACGCGCAAACAGGTGAAAACGAACTATGTTACAGGAGACTGCTTGTTTGCAACGTCGCTATTGAAGTTCCGTTAAAATAATTTTTTGTGTGCCTTCAGTGGAGGCCTGCTCAGTCAAGCGCATGCAGCTGCATCTCACTGTTACTCGTTTAGGCACCCTCCCTATTTGGACGCCAACCCGTTCGCCATCTACGAGAAGATTTTGGCCGGAAGAGTGGAGTGGTCAAAGTACATCGATCCCATCGCCAAGTAAGTCATTGTTTTTTTTTTTTGTCGAACCAGGCAGTGCAATAATCAAAACAAATATAATCAAAATCATTAGAGAGTAAACTAGAAAGCTTATTTAGCACTCTGTCAACGCATACCTAGTTGCCGTTTGTATGCACAGAAAAATTTGCGTGCCTCTATGGTTTTGGTGTTTGTACATTATAAGGCAACTTTCACAATTACTTCAAGGTGTGAAAGGGAGATTTCAATTATACGGTGCTTCTTGGTAAAACAAAGAAAGAAAGAGAGAGGGAAAGAAAGAAATAAAGAGAAAAGGAGAGAGAGGAAGATAGAAAGATAAAGAAAAAGAGAGAGAGAGAAGTGAGAGAGAAATAAAATGACACTGCTGTTTACTGCATAGAGTGAGGCTCTCTCCGCAAAGACTACAAACCTAACTTCTTACATCGTATCAAGTTTATTGCTTTAACAATAAAATGTATGCTCTGGCAAAGTAAGGATCTACACTAAATCCACAAAAGTAAGCGTTGTGCCGAATCTTGGTGCATTGTGTTAAGCTTAGGCACTAAAGAACATTTATTATTACTAACGTGCACCTCAGTGCTAAGCTCGAAGTCTAGACTATGATGAGTACTAAACAAGTTTACGCTGTACACATTTTTGCAGAGACCTGATAAAGAAGCTCTTGGTGAACGACCGGACGAGAAGACTTGGAAGCATGAGGGTAATTTTCTCACCCTTTGTGTCACTACGCGTGTGCACTGCATGTTGAAGAGCTGTAGGCCAGCACACTCATTTTCAATGAAAGGAACCGATCTGTAATTAGGAGAACCTCGACTTACTTTTGTTAATAAACGCTGGGTAAATGAAGAAGTCTTCAGCTTGCTAATTACAATTATTTGCGCGCTCTTTATGTACAAAACAAACCGCTTAATAATTAGCATGCACGTAACTGTGCTTAGACGGATTCCTTTCTTCCAAGATTTGATGTTTGCACATTCTTCATTTCTCGAGACCCAATGACAGAGAATAGAATAATTTGAAAGCTTCGGTTGTCTTCCGGATTGTGGCGAGGAGGGCTTGTTGGCACGTACAAATATTTATTTCAAACATAAGATACCTTCTGGGACCTGTTACTGCGCTGTTTGGAGTAACATTGTTTATGTTTTGTTGTTCATAATTCAGCCTTCGTAGAGATGCGCTGTCGTAGGTTAGCGGCTACGATGCAGCTCTGGAGGTCGTGGGCTTGATTCGCTGTCATGGCATGACATCGCATTGCAAGAACTTTATTTTGGTTTCGGGAAATTAGGACCCAACACTAAAAGCACCCATGCTCACTCTGTCACATTGCCCACGCATAGGTTTTCTAATGTCGCGGCCATAGGCCGGCGAGAATTGTGGAGTGACCCACTCATGAACTATATCGTGCGCTTCGGACTCACTCGGACTCAGCAAAATTCTCCGTAGCCGGACTCACCCATGGACCCACACTCACCAAAATATTACTCACCTGGACTCTGTCACACTCACGGCTTCATCATAGTCTGAGTAAGTCCGAGTGAGTCAACTCATGCATCTGTTAGCCTAGAATTAGTTTTTTCGCCCATGGTTTCAATGCTCTTTAACACCGATATCTGACGTAATTGGCGCTTTTCTTGACGCCTTTTGATATAGCACTGTAGAATACGAGTTATGAGTGCTTTCAAATGAGTAAAGACATTCTTTTGGAAGAGATCACAACATCAGATATATTAAGACCTTCCCAAGAAGAGTTGGTGGGACTGAAGTCAAGGCATCTTCTACCTAATTCACGCCTGTGATCAACAAATATTGAAACCGTCTATAAGTGACACTGCTTTGGAATACGTGTGAATAGACGTGATTGTAAACCAGAATCTAAGTAAGATTGATAGTAATGCTGATAATGAGTCAATAGGGCTTGCTTCGGGCATGTTTACATCGGAGCTAAATGCTAAGACCAGCGTACCTTGATTAAGGTGCATCTAATGTAGCCCTAACCACGGGCTGGTGTGCCGCACCTGGATAAGATCCCCTTTCAAAGTTCCACTCTCTGCCTCCCAGACTTGTGTTATTGCCCGAATACATCTTGTTTAGGGGAGAAGCTCCTTATGCCGTGGGTCGTACGTCCCGTGTCGTCGTATTCGTCGTATACGCGTAGTAGTCAGTTGCATTGCATGTCAATAAAAGCTGTGTCGCAGCATATCCATGGAGTGACTGATTATGAGTGGAGCGAGGTGTCCGTCTCTACGTCCGTCCGTCCGTGCATCCATTTCGGGCGGTCTGGCCTCGTACATCTGAACGATGTTGAGCTTCTAGACGTCGGAGGACGAGGGACTGATGTTTGCCGATTCCTCGTTGGTCTTACACATGCGCACTCGTATTACCACGAGCACGGGCTGTGGGGAGCTTCGCCCCACTCGTCATCATTCACCTCGTGCGTATGCTGCAATTTTTTACATGCTTATCTGAAATAATGACTGCCTATACTTGAACACATTGCAGAATGGTGCTGAAGATGTCAAGCGGCACAGATGGTTCAGAGGAATGAATTGGGACGACGTTCTCGAGAAGAAACTCAAGGTGAGCATGGAAATGTCTTTTCGTAGCAGAATGCACACGGCGATGAATTTCTCGCATTTCTGGGTGTCGAACAATCAGTGATGATCCGGAAGAAAAGAGAAGCGTTTTATATAGGCTTGCATAGACTGCGAGTCAATATACTAAAATGCTTCTTTTGTCGAGTCAAGTGCGATAATACAATTTTTGATAGACACCTACAAACGAGTCGAGGCCACACTTTCTTAAGGAATAATAAAGTGCTAGAACATTTGGCTTTCGATATGCAGCTCTATTAGATGGCGCTTCAGAAAACCAGAAAAGTTTCAAGAGAAAACACGTAAGTTTGTCGCGGATCACTTTCCCTTCTACTCCCGTTTTGTTATGAAGCTGCTGCGAATAGTGGATGCGCATGCGCATATTCTCGTCTTTTAGATATATCGTTACTTAACCGTTTCTCGTCTGCATCGTAGCGCAAGATTTTCACTTCGAGTGCTACAATACAGACTTCAAAAAATGCATTTACAGACAGCGTATCAAAATGTCAATAATGACAGACAAAAATGTCATAACAAAAATGTCTTGCACGGTGTATTGAAACTACTACCGAAGTGCGTGAGCAAAGTGGGCGTTTCATGCAATGTCTTCAAAAGTGAAGTTTAGTTAACACTGCCCGAAAAAAAGTTTGCCGACCTACATAATCTTCATAGATTAGTGTGTCAACAGGAGGTAGGAAGAACAAGAGAGAAGGCAGGGAGGTTAACCAGGCACATGCCCAGTTTTCTACCCTAAGAGAATGTCCAAGGGGAGTATAAAGGTGAGAGAGAGAAAAAAAGGCAAAGAGAAGAGAAAACTGTAAGTAAATACAAAAGCCAAAGCCTTCTTGCGCTTCCTGAGGATGTGAAGCGTGTCAACAGAATAGGTAACAGTTTACCCTGAAGGTGGAGCACATAGTGCAGAGTGAACCATTTTCATGTTCTGTTGCTTCGAAATGTAGCGAATACGGCGCGGTGTCAGCTCTGCTAACACTTATAGATATTTGATGGGAGATGAGCACATATCGTCGAACTTCTTTCACTAACTCTGGTCTCCTTTTGTCTCTTCCAAACGTTCCTTCCTTTCTGTCTTGCTCACTGCACGGGACATGGTCTAACACCCACTTCTACCAAACAACTGCACGTGGCCGTGGGGTCTCTACTCTCAAAATGCCTGGCCCCCTGCACCGATCGCACACGGTCTTCCACCACCTCGACGCAGCCGCCCATAGTGCCCAAAGTGTCACACGATGGGGACACCGGCAATTTTGACGACTACCCGGAACGGGACACCCTCATGAAGCGGCCCACTTCGTCCTGCTCGTCGGTCAGCGAAAAGGACGCCGACACGTTCGATGACTTCTGAAGAGCGAATCACTGATTCGCAATCAAGCCCACGTTGTGGAAGCTGGTGCGAGCCTTGTTAACTCCTTCCGGTCACCGCTACGGAGGAAAAACCTTGACTCAGAAGAAAACCTCTAGTGGCCTGAGAGACTCAACGGGGCAAGGTGGTGGTCACTTCACGTAGTCACTCGCCAAGACAACATGCGGCCGCCTCCAGCACACCGACGCACTACGTCCCGCATCGCAGTGGTTGAGCACGAACTTGTAGCCGTGCTTCGAGACGCCGATGTCTGCAGCTGCCTGTCACGGCTGTGCTGTGGTTTGCGTGGCTGTAGTGCACAAGCCTTCGCTGCTCTCGCTAGACGAAAGGGACCGTAGTGAAGAACAACTACTGTTACGCTCGCATTGATGTAGCATGGTGTTTTGTTGTTGTTTTCTGTCTCTACTTTTACGTAATCTTTCTCGTCTTCTCAGATGAGGCACGACGACACTGTCATGTTATCGTGCTATGCTATTGGCACAGTGTTGAAAAACCTGATCATTCATTACAGATAAGTGCTTTACACATGAGCAGCCACTTCGTTTTGGCCACACTGATGTTTGCACAAACATTGGTATTTTCTTACTTTAAACTGCATGGGGTCATTTTCTCACTTGGCCAGTGACTGACCGCTGTCAGGTATTATGTAGATCGCGCTTGTGAGCCGCTGCAGCGGTTAAGCTGGATAGCGAAAAGTTACCCCCTTTGATGACGACGAAGCAATTACTGCGGTGTGAATTTCAAAAAGAGCTTGGAGAAGTTAGCTGTGTGGCAAAAATGGCTCAGATTCTCATGTTGTTCTAGTCACTAAAGGTTTAAATTCTGTCCTCTAGTCTGTATAGCGCTGTTAAATGTTTTTCGGAGCAGTGTTATAATCCAGAATATGTAAATGGCGGCTCTGTTGTAGACTTATTTGTGACTTCGTGCAAACGCTTTGCGAGTCATGATCACAGGTCTTTATTGTGCATAGTGATGAGCAAGTCATTAACTTAGTTTCCCAAGCAAAGTTCTGGTCAGTGTACATACAGCCTTGCCTTGCTTCTCTATCGTTTTAGTAGCTAAGCATGTTCGACAACTATGATCACACCTCAGAAAGGGGCTGTTCCACCAACAATAATCTCAAAAGGTTTTGCAGCCAGCAGGCTACAAGACTTTAAGAAGGCTCAGTATGATTAGGCTGTGGTACACGCTGAGAAGCGTTTCTTTACTATTGTAGCGAAAAATGTGTCCCTCACATATAAAGCGGTCATAAGATACATTGCAGGAACCATGACAGGCGTAAAAAAAGAAAGAGAAAAAAGTTGAGATAGACAAAAGTTAGAATTGTTTTTTAATGTCGAACACTACGCGTGCCGCTTACTAGTGGTGATATTTTCTTAGCATAGGTGTAATTCATGAGGCATTCTCGCAAGGCATTATTACGAATATTAACGCTTTATTTCAGGTCAATAGGACGCAGCAATTTAGAAGTTCTTCAATTTTCTACTTTTTTTGTTTACAGAGAAGCCTATGCCAAGAAAATAAAACGAAAAAGAAAAAGTGGTAAAAATCTAAGAAATTTCACAGCCATCGCATCTGCGTTAGCGTGATGCATGCATCTTGTCTCGTTTAGGAAGACATGCGCGAAGCTATGGTTACACATCAAACATTTGCTCGATGGCCATTCTTTCAGACGGACTGACTTCAATGAGCTTTCTGTGGGCATTTACACGGAGCTGAATGCGTAACAAAACAATGTTTTTAGCGCACTCTAGCGTGCCACTGATGAAAACAGGGTGACATAAAGCATACTGGCTGCTATTTTTGTATCCATCGGAGCGAGGCGCACTTCACTCAGATGACTTATTAGAAGAATGTGGCACATCTAATAACCGATACGCATGGTGTGACTGGTGGCCTTTTCACCTCGTGTGCACGTGACATTTGAAATAAGCAATCATTCACTCGGGAGTTGTGACTATGACAAGCTCAATAACTGGATTCACATAAGGTTGAGTCCAGAGAGGCCAGCCTAAAGGGTACATCTCTTGCACATGGCAAATTCAGGTTTGTATGCGAAGCAGCCGATGAAACATTTAACTCTGTGGGAAGGATTAAAGCTGCGCCAGCAAATTTTTTTCCATAGTTTTTGGGCCTGGAAAAACGTCAGCTCGTTGACTGAGCAAAAGTTGATCAGCTGCTTTTTTTTTTCTCTCGTGTGAGTAAGAGCAAAGAAAACGCAATCTCGATCATTACGATACCGGATTATTGATTGATTGATCATTAACTGGAGGATTGGTTGATTTGGTGGCGCTTAGAATGAAGGCGAGTTCGACGCAGTTACCTTATTTTCACGTGGGCGTTATACATAAAACGTTGTAACGAGATTTACACTGACATGTTTAAATAGGTTAGTTTCACGTTTTTTTTTTACATGAAACGTTGTAACGAGAAGATTTACATCGAAATGCCTAAATAGGTTAGTTTCACGTTTTTTTTTTTAAAAGATGAGGGAGACATCTTCATCGACGAGTACGCAAATGAACCTCTGGAAGCAGCGAGGAAGTGTGAGTTTATTTATAAATCCATGTGACAAATACACGAAAAACACGTCGTATACGTGGTTTGGTGCGAAGGGCAAAAAAAGCTGCGTGTTGCAGCTTGAATAGCCTCTTCACCCAGAAAAAAGTTCAAAGTTACAAAATACAAATTATTGTAGGCAGTGAAAAGCGGAAATATCAAAAGAATGTGCATGTGGATCATAACAGCAAGTAATGAAATAGGAACTCTGAAATGCAAGTTGAGGTAACGATAGCATAGTTGAACTAAGGGTAAAGTTGATCCCTGTGTTAGCATAACACCTCTATTCGTTATCAAAAAGAGCATGAATGCAGTGCTTTAGCTTATTTTAAGCTTCATATATAGTTCCATACGAGGTTGTAATTATGGTATACGAGCTAATTGGCCCTTAAATTTTGTTTGGCTTCATCAGGGCAGAGTTTGCGATGGAAGCTGCCGTTTTTCTCATCACATCATCACCGAAGTGGCACTTCCTTGCCTTTCGCGAGAAGAACCAATTACCTGCACATTTGATAGTGTATTTGTGAAGTGTAGACGGACAAGCGTACTCGAACAACGGAAAATATACGGAGGGCTATAATCGCTGGGTCTTTTTTTATCCACAGGGTGCAAGAGGTGCATTGTGCTGCATGCAGTTCTACCCAAAGAGACAGGTGGAAAAGATAGACAGGGAGCGTTTCAGGTTAGCTACTCTGCGATCGAGTTTAAGAAAAGGGGTGTAGAAGGGAGTGCGAAATACGCAGCAGAAACTACAGTGCTGAGAGTGATCAGATATAGCATTGATGTACACGTCTCTGATTTTCTCGGTACATCTTAAAGATTGTGCATCTACGCCAAGCCAGAACACATTGTAATATTGCTGTAAGAGGTTGCTAGGTGACATCAACTCTAGTTGAAATCATTAGGCCTGTGCTGCACGGCCTTGATGCCAGGCATTCAATGTTTTATAGCATTTTTAGCATTTTCGGTTTACACTCGACGCCAAGGCGGCAGCCACTAAGCGCATGTCATGCTTTTGTGACGTCATTTACACCGGCAAGTACAGCTTTTCTAAGCGTTGTCTGTTGTTTCTGGTCAAATTGTTAAAGTACGAAACGTTTGCAAGGTAGAAGGCGCATAAACATAAAGCAGTGCGGTTGAGCCATCTGTAGTGCGAGAAAAAAAGAGGGGGAGGGGGCTTTGTTCAAGGCATCTCTAATTTACGAATACTGTGGTTAAGAACAAAAATACGTTATGTATATGAATTCTGCAACGGGGACCGTTTTCGCGACGCCTTTTTCTGTAAGTGTCCTTTGCTGTTGGTTGTTTACCTTCGTTAATAATACGCTCAACGTTTGGATTAATTAAATATTTTTCGTATGAGCAAATCATCCGTTCGTGAGAGATCTTTCTGAATAAGGCCCTGAAACCACGGGATCTTCTGTGGACAAAAAAAAAACGCTATAAATTCCACTGTTGATGTGCCTTTGGTACCTGCTTACCATCCAGGCGACAATCCATTTTCACAGCTGCCGTCCTATAACCATGAAGTAATGACACACATGCACAAAAACTGACATCGCCAGCGCTGTATGAAGACGTCAGTGAAAGAAGCTTTCTACTGCATATAAAAAGTGTACCTACTAAAAAAACTTGTGTGTATAGAGATGAGTAAAAGAAAGCTTTGGAATGCCAATTCAGATTGATTGTGAAATGTGATCCTAAAGTGTGTAGACATCGAAGCCTACTCGATCGGCACTTCTTTCGGTATACAATTTAAGCGCTGGAACAGAGCATATGACACTACTTACGGTAGCTAATAAATTGCCGAAGATGAGCGAGTATTCCGGATAGCAAGAAAAGTAACTATCGAAGTTGAGCGCAAAAGCGCCTACTCTGCGATGCCTACTTTGTGTACAGAGCATTCCTTGCTGTCTGTGTATACAGTAACGGGAGGATCAGAAGATTCGTGGCAACGGACGTAACTGTTGTGTACTGTATTTTTTTTACACAGATGCACTTGGCGCCAGTCACTTACTTGGTGTAAGCATGTAACGTATATGCATAATCATAGCTGTGAGCTTCGTTTTGTTTCAATGCTATTTTCATGTGGAAAGTAGTCGTTTGTTCAGTTAATTTTCGGAGAATACGAGATTACGTGGAAATAAAAGTACCGCCCCCTTTGCGGAAGACGAAAAACGATGGTTTTGTTGAATGTTGTATCATAGAAGTATCTCTTGCCTAACTGCTGTGATCTTTATGTCGATGCCTTGTCGTAGCACATCCCTTTTCAACAAGTCCTACTGGCGCAGTGGTATTGACAACGCCAAATAAAGTAATGAAAATGACGTATTCCTTCCAAATGGAGGATGTTGCTTGATCGGGCAAAATCGCAGAACAAACTTGAAAGCACTTTGTCACCGTATAACCGATATGCAAGATTCGTTCTTTATCTTTTTTTTGTTTTCTTGGAGCATGCGACTGATAGCACTGGTTGACGAGTTGCCCGACCAAGTCTGCAATGGTACGTTTACCTGCCTTCACTCTACCTTTTTTTCTCTTTACATCCAGGAATTTCCTTTGCATGTTATGCACTTCGTACGACTAACTAATGCTTTATTCTGGGTCATGGTCTTGAAATGTAAGGATCTCTGCATGTGTGCAGAGCTGGTCAAATAACCTAGGAATATGATCATCCTATTTATAAGTACAACGAAGCGTAAAACTGTACTACGGTGACTGAGCAGCGAAGATGGTTGCCTGCTTCCAAGTGGCTTCAGTCTTCACGCAAAGCGCACGTTGAAGAGGCAAAGCACCTTGGGGCCCAGCTTAGTCCGTCACGCTACACGATATTGAAACTGAACACCTGTTCATCGAAAAAGAAAAAACGCGTGTTTAAATAAGAAAACGACCTTATGTGGAAATCGGTAAAGTATATACCACAGCAAAGACGTGCTAAGGATTTCCTTTTCAGGGTGGGCAATGGTTTGTCGCAGCGCCCCCTTCCCTGATACGTCAATGTATGAGGCAGATTTTAGATTTGTCGGGTTTAACGTCCCAAAACCACCATATGATTATGAGAGACGCCGTAGTGGAGGGCTCCGGAAATTTTGACCACCTGGGGTTCTTTTTAACGTGCACCCAAATCTGAGTACACGGGCCTACAACATTTTCGCCTCCATCGGAAATGCAGCCGCCGCAGCCGGGATTTGAACCCGCGACCTGCGGATCAGCAGCCGAGTACCTTAGCCACTAGACCACCGCGGCGGGGCATGAGGCAGATTTTGCGCCCCCTTCTTAGGCGACTTGGGAAGAAGCCGCCCCCTCCTCCCAATCGCCACTCTCGCACGCCTGTGTAGAACCGAACAGTACA